CTTTGCTCACCTTTGGGAAATATTTGCCTTGGAAACATTGTTTACTGCTTTGCCCACCTTTGGGAAATATTTGCTTTGGAAACATTGTTTATTTACTGCTTTGCCCACCTTTGGGAAATATTTGCTTTGGAAACATTGTTTATTTACTGCTTTGCTCACCTTTGGGAAATATTTGCCTTGGAAACATTGTTTACTGCTTTGCCCACCTTTGGGAAATATTTGCTTTGGAAACATTGTTTATTTACTGCTTTGCCCACCTTTGGGAAATATTTGCTTTGGAAACATTGTTTATTTACTGCTTTGCTCACCTTTGGGAAATATTTGCCTTGGAAACATTGTTTACTGCTTTGCCCACCTTTGGGAAATATTTGCTTTGGAAACATTGTTTATTTACTGCTTTGCCCACCTTTGGGAAATATTTGCTTTGGAAACATTGTTTATTTACTGCTTTGCTCACCTTTGGGAAATATTTGCCTTGGAAACATTGTTTACTGCTTTGCCCACCTTTGGGAAATATTTGCTTTGGAAACATTGTTTATTTACTGCTTTGCCCACCTTTGGGAAATATTTGCTTTGGAAACATTGTTTATTTACTGCTTTGCTCACCTTTGGGAAATATTTGCCTTGGAAACATTGTTTACTGCTTTGCCCACCTTTGGGAAATATTTACCTTGGAAACATTGTTTATTTACTGCTTTGCCCACCTTTGGGAAATATTTGCCGGGAAACATTGTTTACTGGTTTGCCCATCAATGGAAAATATTTGCAGGGAAACAATTTTTCCTGCTTTGCCCACCTTTGGGAAATATCCGCTTCGAAGTTGAAGTGTTTTCTGATTTGCCCACCGCTGAGGAATAGGATTTGAAAATAATGTTTTCCCGGAAAATACATGATATACATACCTTGTTCATTGCTCTCCGCCTTCTAACTACAAACACCACAATAATAAAGGCAACAAATATCAATGCAGCAACGATATAGATTATCCGGAGTGGAGAACTACTTCCATCAGTGTGAGTGTCTCTTTTAGGAGCCAAGCATTTCGCATCATCAGAAACTGAAATGAACAATATAATATAGGCCTATCACTGATTAGAAAAAAGAAACAACAACAAGATTGTACCTTTAAAAAGACAATAAAAGTAATATATTTCAAAATGAAACAAAGTCGAAACTACGCCCACTTTATTTCGAAAATGAAACACTTTAATTATTTCAAAGACTAGTTTTGATAGCCGGTGCGCTTCCGTGCCGAGCAGATGGTGGTCAATCTGCAGTTATCAGAGTGCGAAAATCATATTTATTCTTTTCACGATATATGCATGGTAGTCTTATGTTTGGTGGAAAATAAATAGAACAAGACGCTCCACGGAGCGTTAAGTCGCTGGGAAAATGAAAACATAAGAGATATATTTTAATTATTTTACCGGCCTATAAGCGTCCGCAGTAAGTTGTAGGACCACAATCGGTCTGCTGCCTTGTAACGCGTACTGAAACCTACCAGTGCAAGACAGGGTCTTTTACTTCCGCACGGCACTGCAGCAAAGACCCTGGTTCCCTCTGGTCGCGTGAACTCCTAAAAATTAGATCAACAGAAGATCCTAGGGGAGGGTGGTTGAAATGTGATATGTTGTAATTTACAACTTCCGGTTAAATGTTATGTTTGCAAGGCCCGCCGAGGAGTGACTGTAAAGCTATGAAAAGTGACCCCAACTGCAAATATATGCAAAAAGATTCAAAATGTATTATTATTATTCTTATTTGTCAGCAGTTTTCTATTATAAATATTTGTATCCAAACGCTATTTTGAAGCTCAAGCAGGTTATTTGCTTCGAAAAGCTGTCCTTTGCCTTTGGCGTGCATATAGTGGCAACTTTTCCAACCGGTTATGGCGAGTCGCTGATTTACCAGATTTTGCTTTTGATGCTTTTCGCTAAAAGAGCGGTAGAAGAACGTCCAACTCAGAACCTTTGTGTAAATGAGTAAGTGACGTGACCTCTGTGCTGCTCGTTACAGTATATCGCGAATGGGCCTTTGATAAACAATCCAGTTCGAAAATTATGCGCGGTAAAACTCAAAGTATCAGCAATAAATGTTTTTCAGCAGCCATTAAAATGTGACAACGAAAAGATTGATTGCTATTTAGCTGAACTTGACCAAAAGAGAAAACTAATTCTACATGTTATTTCTCAATTATCCATTATATTGTTATCTCAATTTTGTTTTAGGGGAGATGACTAATAAACGAGGTTATGCAAAACTCAGTAATATATTGTGTGCTGTATTCCCTAATACCGAAGTTGGCGTTATTGCTATGACTGCTACAGCAAATAAACTTCACCGAAGGCACAGAAAAATCACTCGGCTTGCATAATTGCTTTGAGTTGGTTGCAAATTCTGACGGAAAGAACATCTTTTACGAAGAGACATTCAGATACCATATAGGCAAGATATTGCTGCTTTGGAGGACATTTGCAGACCAATTTATGTTGTAGTGTATGCAAAACACAATGTTTATGCGCACATGTTGAGTGTAGTTTGATGTGGAAAGGGAATGTTGTTTTTAATACCTGATTAGATAAATATTTTTGAGCCTTTAAAATATTCTTGACCTTGTACGAAATGAATATACAATTCATCACAAATGCGAATTTTGTTGAACTCAGTTTTCTGAAGTGGACACAACTAGTTGCAGTATGTTCACACTCTCCTGACCCTCAAACATATATATTATGTCATCATTTGCATCAACTGAATTTATTTCATGGGCAAAAACCCATACAGCAGAACAAATTGCACATTGAATATATATGTATATATACAGTGAGTATACTGTAACCATGCACCTATTTCAATTAAGGTTGTCACAGACAATATTTAGATGTACAATAATATGATTGCTAAATAACTAATGGGAATAATGATAGTTTTGAATAAGTTTAGCACCTCAAATATATTATAAATACTAATTTAATTCGTATTCCCATGAGGCTATATTGATGTGTTAAAATAAGAACATTTTTAGTATATATTCACAGTCATAACTCCTCTTCATCTTCTGTTGTGTCCACTGGTAGTGCTTGGTGAATGTTCCTCTTGTGTTTGTTTAGCTATAGTCATGAAATGCAGCATTGTCTAATGTTGCTAATGTATCTGACGATCATGTATCTGTGAAACCTTCATGAAAATGATCATTGATGCTTGTAAATGGTTTCAATTCCAAGAGATCAGATAAAATATTTTCAATTTCTCTGAAGATTTGTGCTTGTGAGAGGATGCCTTCTTGACTTAATTCCAACAGCTATGTCGAAGTTGTTTCAGTATCATTACTGCAATCCCTCCAGTCGCTCTACTTAACCATTCGATTAATTTGGGTGATTTTTTCCCTCATTCTTTCAAGGGTGGGTTGACTACAAAACATTTGTAGTTCGCTATAACTACAGCTACTTCAAAAATATGTAGTCAGCTACAATTACTGCTACTTTTGAACAAAGGTAGTTCGCTACTGACGACAGCTACTGCTTAAAAAATGTAGCGAACTATTTCGCTATTTTGCTATACTATATTTTTTAGTATTACTGTATTTGGAGCATCTACTAACTCAGGCTGTAATGTAACCTATAACAAATCGACTTACGAGTAGCAACAGTGAACACAAAGCAACATTTTTTTAAGCACTACAGTGTTCAGGAATACAAATTGACTATTGAATAGCCTATTGATTTTAAGCAAACCGTGTCTCAATATCATGGTATTCTATCACGTTGCTAACAATTTAAAAAGTAGCGAATAGCGATTCGCTTTTTGAAAAGTAGTCAACTACTTGGCTACATTTAGGCAAAATTTAGTTCGCTATAACTAAAGCTACTGTTTTAAAAAAGTATAGTAAAAAACTACTGGCTACTTGAAAATTGTAGTTCGCTACAGTAGCGAACTACAACTACTTCGCTACTACCCACCCTTGCATTCTTTTAATTTAATGTTAACTTAGGAAGATTCGAAAGTCTGTCATCACACGCAAGAGTTCCACAATTTACATTTTCTGCGATGCGAAGCAGGTTTTTATTTCGCTAGCTTGAGGAATAGGTTTTTGCGATACTTCTCGTCAACAAAATACCACCACGAAGGCGACACTTGCATTCCGAAAACAAAAAGGATTTCGGATAAATCATCTTTGGGGTTTCCTTTCGCTGTGCCACTAGCTTGAGAGCTAGTGAATGACTTTGTATAAGTGTGCATTCGACCATTATTTTCTTTCGTTGGTAAATAAACGGCTCCATTTCAAGGTGTAAAACAGACCTCCAACCATGCAAATTATATCAAATAGGTGTATAAAGCTTTCAAGCGGTGATATGTTTCATTAAAGATAAAACAAAAACCCAAAATATGGGTTAATACAGAGCGTAAATGGCCATGTTTTCCACAGGCATATAGTATAGACGTTTTCATTTTCGTTCTTGGCCATTCCTGGCTTTTTGTGGCGATTCCCCCTACCACTCCTCCCTAAGTGGCAAAGAAGCAGCAATTCGAATTTCTCCTAAAATCTGGGGGTTCGCGTGACCAGAGGGAATCAGGCTCTTTGCTGTAGCCCAAGCGCAAGTAAAAGATCCTGGCTTTGCAAGCTTGCCTACTAGTGTTGAATGTTTCTAAGTAGCGTTTTGACTACTTACCTTTGATATTCACATTTAACGTTTTAGAGAAGATATGTAAGGGATGTTTGGTACTTCGGCATACAATAGGGACATCATAGGATGCATCTCCATGAGTGAATATAGTCTTTTTCACATATAATATTGGTGGCGAGTGTTGAATATAGAAATGTTCATTCACCATAACTTTATTGCGTAAAGTTTCCGTGCCTTCCTGGATATGACATCTGTATTCTGATAATTGGCTTGAATATTTCTCCAAATCATTAGTCTTGCTACTCCCACATTTCAGTTCGGGATAATCCAAGTCTTCTATCAAAATGTGCCCAACCACTGAACAGTCATCAAGGTATCGCGGATTCGTCAGGCAGATTGCTGTTGGCATTTCATTCACATCTGTAGGAACAATATTACGATTAAATCAATGGTTTTAGGTCAAATTAAGCTGACATAAGACAAAGGGATAATTTCGCTTGAGACCAGGACACAGTCAGGAATATATCTTACCTAAAATCTTAATCAGGAATCGTTTTGTAAAAATTCCTGATGATGAAGCTACACTACTGATGGTGATAGGCATACTCTTGTCTGCTGGAAGTAGTTCATAATCCAAAGTATTATCAAGTTTTACTTTCAAAATATTGTGATCAATTTCAAATGGCTGTGTTCTGTTCGTGACTTCAAGGATGTGATAGCTGATCCGTTCTTGTTGCAGAAGTGGTCTGCGAGAAAGGTGGCCAATATTTATTGTGCCATATGTGACATTCTCTGGGACTGTGTTTGAACTAAGGTGAAAGGATATGTCTGCTTCATTTGCTGAAAAAGAAACATGACAGTTCCTGGAATACATTTCTGTATATAGCAATTTCTAGGAATATCTGATTACGCATATTACAAGAGAATAGAAGGGAAACGTAAGCTTAAAATTAGCTAAATTAACTTTATTTGTGCTGGACAGCTCTTTCAATTCTGAACTGTTCTTTCCACAGATTTACTGAGAACCATTCCTTATTAGCATGCACTAGCATTACAAATCAAGGATTCTGATTGGCTACTCAATCATGGGCCATTACGTCCATGGTTGCGAAAAGAGATGGCGGAATGTTTTGTTTTTGAAAGTGTTTGATGGAATTTTTTCAAAAATTCTTTCCGTGAAATACAAGAAAAGACTACTAAATATGATCTGAAGATGTGTTTAATGGTAGGGAGCAAAATTTCAACCGTATTTTAATAATAAATCTGATGCTACTTGCCGCAAAATGTGACACGAAGATAGGAGGAATTACAGAGCGCACCTTTTGTACACATGCATGCATGCATTGCAAGCAAAATCGTTGAAACATCAGCCGCTTGTAGTTACTTAATCATATGTTTCCCTCATCTTTTTTAAACACTTAATAGTGTTTCTTTGTCTAAAATGTGAATTTAGGTTGATAACAGTGATATTGTAAGGTTATTTCTCCCTTTAAATAATCTTTTTTGAGTGTTTCGACCTTTTGCGCCTGAAAGCAACTTTATATAGCTTCCTAATTTTTCGATAAAATCTAAATGTCAAACATTTTCTATGCATTTTCAAGTGATAGTTTTGTTGTTCACAATTATTTTGTTATTTTACACTTCTTTTTGAACCTAAATGCCTGCAACACTTCACTGAGGAAACGATATTTTTACAGTTTGAAAATACCTTAAACTCTGGACTTTAAAGGATTCTTATAATTATAAAAACTTCGTTTGCATTTTTCCTTAATAATATTATGCTAAAAAATGGCCTGTTCTAAAATATGTTCAAGCCTCACATCGAGCCCTTTCGCACGAGTTGCTTGCAAAAAGTTAACAAATATCATGCGAAGCATGCGAAGGTTAAAAGAAATCTCTCAAATGCTCATTTGTGGTTTTAATTGTATTAAAATCTTTCAAATTGCGCTTGGAGTTTGTATTTTGTAGTTGGACTGTATACTAAAACAATTAGACAACTCGGCCTCGTTGTCTATGACAAATAGTCAACTCAAGCTACGCCTTCGTTGGTTATATTCGCTCATAGACAACTTGGACTCGTTGTCTAAATGTTAATTGCCCAGTGTTACTGCAAAGAGGAAGCCTACACGAAATTAACTTTATTTCTACTGGATAATCTCGATAGCTCTATTACTTCTAAACTGTTCTTCCATCCAGTACAATGTCCCTATTGAAGGACAAAGCGAAAGTCAAACTGAAAGCAGTTCTTACATGCGAATAAAGCAAAAATATAATCAGACACCTGTTTTCCGGAGGAATTGAATCATAATGTAAATACATACAGTCACGTTATAACAAGAACAATACATACATGCAATATGGATAGAGCATTTTTGTACGGAATATTTAGCTTCATCTTTTTTGATTCGATATTCCTCAGAGCCGTTTCTTCGTTCCCAAACTAAACCATTGTCATCAACACGAATTCCAAATATTATCAATCCGTTGTTGTATTTTTCAGCAGTCAGTGGCTAAAAGAAGAATGACAGCAGAAATATTCCTTCATACTTACGCTTACTTAACCCATTAAGCTGCATTGAACCATGAAGGTCCCTCCTTACTATTTCACTCTGTCAAACGGTTTTACTCGCCATGCCAAGGGAGAATGCTCCCGTTCAATAGGACAAGTAAAGTAAAAAAGGCAAGGCCGGTTTACATATGTATGGTAACTATATTGAAATAGGATGGTATGCAATGGTGCAGTATAGTATTGTATGGAATATGTTATGTTATGGTATGGATGGATATATGGTAGGAAATGTAATGGTATGGCACTATGATACAGTATAGAACATATGGTATGGTATGGTATGGTATGGTATGGTATGGTATGGTATGGTATGGTATGGTATGGTATGGTATGGTATGGTATGGTATGGTATGGTATGGTATGGTATGGTATGGTATGGTATGGTAAAGCCAGGAATAGCTAGAATGGAATGGCCATATCATGGTATGATTTGGTATGTAAGAGTTAATCACCGAGAACGGAGGTTCTTAATCAGATAGATTCCGAAGAGCGTAACCCAAGGAAAGATAAGACAAGATAAGATAAGATAAGAAAAGAAACTATATGGTACGGTGTGGCAATGTAACGTAAAGATATAGGATATCAGACGATCAAGTGGCTAAATGTCAAAACCAAAATGATAAAATTACCTTTTTGAGATATATAATTCCATTTTGTGTGACATTAAATGGCCAGGCGATATTCTCGTTCTCAAAACGATAATTCAAGAGCTGTTTACGTGTTTCAAAAGGCCCGTTAGGGTTTTGTTTCTTTGAAATATGATAGCGTTCATTGTCAGGATCATAATGCTGGATTTGTCCAAGGATTGAACCACGAGAGAACGAGGGTAACGCATGGAATGAAGTATTGCAGAGTATCTGTGGTGCTTCATTTACATCTGAAATAAGGATGAATAAAAATTATATATTAATATATGTCAAACGATTATTTCAAATATGGGGGGGGGGGGAATGCTGGTAGTATTATACATTATGCTGTCCTGGTTGGTGCCAGTACTGCCTCAAATTTACTTTTGACATTTCGAGAAAAGGCTCTTCGTCAGTTCTTCAGGAGGTCAGAAGACTTGCTTGCTAGCTCGAATTAGCTCTACTTTTGATAGGGTCTATCCAGGCTGTTATGAGGTCAGTTTCATTTTAAAATTGGTCTATCCGGTCTTTTATGGGAGCAGTTAAGTTCTGTTCTAGTTGCAGACTGGATAGATCCCACCAAATACGAACCCAATTCAAGCAAGTCTACATGGTTTGTAGTGGCTCTTGTTTCGACTCTACCGTTTCCTCCTATAGTACCACTGAACCGATACTCGACCTTTTGGAAGAACTGTTTAGAACTGACGGAGCTACTGTACCCAGTACAAGTGATATTATTTTAGGTTTCATCCTGTAGTAACAATAGATCAACAAGAGATGACCCTTAAGGAGACAATTTCCAAACTTTTTCCAGCAGAAACAAGTTAGTTTAGTTGAGTTTAGAACAATCTAGAATTGAAACAGCTATCCAGTATAAATAAAGTTAATTTAGTTTAGTTTAACGGTATAACATTACTGCTGGAAGTATACATTTAATAGTTTTCCCACCATACCTATAACATTAATCTTGAACTGTTTATCTATAAAAAGTTGAGCTTGGCGATGATCCGGGACAATATCTTCACAATTAATATTTACATATTGCACTCTCGAAGATTCAAAATTCAACGGACGAACAGTCTTAAGTGTTAGTGAATTTGTTGAAGTGTCAACGTAGAATGGCGTGTCAACATCGAGTATGGTACAGCTATGACGCTGACCCACATCTGGATCAGAAATTTCTAGAATTCCCACCGCTGTATCGTTCTTGTTTTCTCGGATTTCTAATTTGCTCAAAGTGAGGCTAGTTGGAGCTTCATTCACATCTTGAAACAGAACAAAAGGAAGGACGTTAACCATTGAGTGTCTATTCTAAGCAGTTATCTCAGAAAGAAGATCATGTTAACTTATTTCATTTTACAGGGCCTCTTTTAAGGATGTGTAACTGGGGGGCATATTTCGCGGGGGACCTGGAGAAACCAGCATATATGTGCATGGTTTAACTAATAAGTATACGTCATAGGGCAGCAGATCAAGCCCATAACTAGGATTCTGAGACAACCGAGTCGAGTACCGAAGTTTCGAGCCGTCTAGTGGGGTCTGGGGACATCTCCCCCCCCCCCCCCTCAGAAAATGTTGGATTTCTCGAAGCTCAGCAGGCTATTTCCAGCATTTTGAGGAGTATTCCAACAAGAAATTAACCTTATAAACAGTGACACTGCAATTTTAATTATTGTAATTTTACAGTCTCCCAAATGTAATCCAGTCCCAATAAGGCAACATGATGTGGTGATGCAGTAATGAAAATGTGCGTCGTATAGTATTGTAATTCACCATACTTCAATTTCTACAGTACTGTATTGCATGAATTGGGGTACTTGATATCGACGCATTCGTCTTCTCAGTGTCACTGAAGAGTAAGATAGGGTGGTCTCTTTGGAGTATCTTTCCTTGGAAAAACTGAACTATAATTTCGTACTAAAATACCATTCCAAGCCTTTTTCCACAAGCAAATTATTTCAGCCATGGGTTAGGTTTCTGGCGAAGTTTAAATTTCAGTCCCCATGCAAATTCCTACCGAATCAACTGACTCGGTTTACTCATAGCTAGTTAAGGGCCTGCAGATGATGGTCAAATTCAGAAATGTTAACAGTTAACATCATTTTTTCATTCAGATATATAATTGCTGGTTTACCAACTACTGTAGGTGGTTCTTAGGGACCTTGCACTGGGGGGGGGGGGGCACAACATTTCCGACTGGAGGGGCCACTAACAGGGCTGGGGGAAACATGTCCTCCCCAGTCTATATGTTAAAGGAGGCCCTTTCATTTTATGCAGTTGTCTTGTATTTGTAGCCCAATATAATAATTATAATAAAACATCAGTAAATTTTATCCCACACTTTAGTACTCCAGAATTACCTTCAACAGGCAGATTTATCCAACGAGTAACAGAAGCCCCATGTTGATCCTCACATCTCACTAAAATCTTCAATGACTTGGATGAACCGAGACTTTCATAATCTGTAATCGTTGGTCCAACGACGAGAATCATTGAAATCAAATTAACACGATCATTACTATTGTGTTGCAGTCTACATGAAGCTTTTGTATTGCTATCCAGGTCAATCATTTCAAGCTGAGTGATGAAGACGTTTTGAACACTATTCTCAGAAAGTTTTGCATCTGCCGGGTGAAGTCTGATGTCTGTTGGTGGGTCATTCACATCTAAAATACGATGGGGACTTATCAGTGTAGAAGCAATAATTTAGTAGTGTAATATCTCTCCTGTGTTTCTCACAATTTAATTGCTGCGAAATTCAGGTACCTGATTATACATCACTCACATGCAGGAAGAGTGCTTCTAGTTTGATTCTGAAATTCTCTGAAACAAAGAGTCAAACTAGAAGCACTCTTCCAACGTTTTCTATGGGTACACCGGTTTCCTCGAACACTGGACCAATATAAAAGTTACGCTTTCTCCACAGAATAAATAAAGCGAATTCACTGGACCAATATTGCACATTTAGAACGACAGATCAGAACTCAATATGAACAGAGCTGGCGAAGTTAGTTTAGTTGATATACTTAATCATGAATAAGTTTTCGTTGGTAGGGATACAACTACCTGAAAATATATAAGGAAAATGTCTCCGATATTCTCCGTACATATTTTCAGGTAGTTGCGTCTCCACCAACGAAAACCGGCTTCTTCATTTTATTGGTACTACCTATACTGGCAAAGAAAGTCCAGATTGTATCTAAAACCATGTTCAAAAGAGGATGAGAGTTAATGAAAGTAGACAGTCACGCATTGTTATGAGCAAAATTTCAAGCTCTAGATTAACAAGATAAAAGGTTCGATGAATGCCAACTCTCTTGCATTCTCATCCTGGTTTGATCCGAGCTTTAATTTTGAACAAACCTTGAACCATAATTGTAAATATCTTTTCCAAGTATAGTCCACCCTTATCAGTGACTCGAATATGAACACTAATACTTGGGGTATGTTCAAAATGAAGTGGTCCAAGAAAAAGGAGTTGATCTTGGTTGGTTCCACCAATACGGAAAGATTGTGAGTCTCTGACAGTGTAGGTAAATGCTTGGTTCATTCCATCAGGGTCTTGTGCAGATAACGTGGCGATGTTGATCATGTTTGATTGACTTTCTTCAACACTTGTACTTGATAAGACAAGAGACGTGGGCGCCTCATTTACGTCTGAAGAAAAAAGTTTGAATATGTTTGTTAGATGGAGGTTAATTTCGTTCTTGTGGTTAGTTAGATCGTTGCCACCAACGTTGGGTTAGACATTGTTAGATTATATAGGTTGTGATAAGTCAATGTTGGCTAAACCTTGTTCTTAAATGGAGGTTACCAGAATAACAGGGCCGCAGGTTTTATTACTTCCAGGGATTTATAATTGCATTTATTGCCGCTGTTCCTGGTTAGCTCTAATAAATGTATATGCATTTACACACGATAATTTCCATCTACAAAACCCTTCAACAACTAACCCAAAACCCTTCAATTGAGTGAGATGCCAACAAAATCCTGCTATTTACCGATTTAAAGTGATTCGATGTTGTACAGAACTTAACTTACCCAATTCCATAGCGGTAAGGGACAGTCGTTAGCGAGATTCAGATTTGAAATCCACTACCGCTACCATTAAGGGACCACTAATCAATCAGATGCGTTTTATATATCCGATTAACCAATCAGAAGCTTACTACGCTAGTGAGAGGTAGTGGTAGTGGAAGTCAAATCCGTCTCAATCGGCTAGCGTCAAACTGCTACAGTTACACTGACCTGTGATTTCAATCTGGAACTGTTTGGAAATCCCAAGATTTTCATCTTTACAGAAAACAGTGATATTATACATTTTCTTTGTTTCAAAATCAAGAATTCGGTTTGTTTTGACTCGAAGAAGATTTCTTTGTGCGAAGAGATCTATTTGGGCGATATAGAAGACATCTTCAGCGCCATTGCTAGAGTTGACCAGGGAACATGTGTGACTTTGAGTCAGTTCAATCTTGTTGTCTGGATCTTGTACCTAGAACAAAATATTCAAATTTGTTCGTTTGCTTCATGCAATAGTTTTGACTGTAAAAAATTCCCATCAAATTTAACGTTGAATTAAGTTAACAGTATCTATATACCTACTAAAGTTGCAAGTAATCGATTGACAATTCTTTCAAGAGGTATCGAGAATTTAATATATTGTCATGTGCGACCCTTTGTAAATATAAAAGCTCATCCATCATAACATTGCAAAATTTAAATAACCAGTACATAATATTTGGCATAAAAAATGTATTGAAAAGAAAACAATATCAAATGATACATACCAAAAATTCACTAACCACAGTACCACCAGGTGAGTTCTCAGGCACTCTGTCATCAGATATCAAAATATCAGTGGGTCTTTCGTTGACATTCTCGACTTCAATTCTAAATCTTTTTCCTGTTGTTCCCCCCTCATCTATTACAGCTACCCAAATAAAGAATTCATTTTCCATTTCATAATCAAGAGATCCATTCACTACCAGAGGCACGGAACATGTTTGGGTGGATTTTCCATCTTGAAGACGGAGAGCACAAGTTGCAGAACCTAATAAACACAATTTATTTATATCTCTTTTTTAAAAACGCGGAAACGATAAGGCGGGTAAGCACATTAATTAGGATGAGCAGGATTTTCTTTAGAAGAATTGTGTGCTTAACCTATTAAGCTAGTGTGCTTTACCCATTAAGCTGGTACCTTAGTGGATGGGTTAATGGTTATTCTTTGGTAAGTTACCCAGCTTATGAATTGTTAATTTAAACTAATATTAAACTAAACTGTATTGATACTGGATAGCTCTATCAAAAATGGGTGATTCCAGCTATATCTTATATTTTGATCAAGGCAACAAGAACGAAATCCAACACCGCAGCTAGAAAGAGCCTCTTAGAATGAGTAAAACTGCAAGGATTCTTTGCTAAATGTTGTAAAATGAGCAAAATATAGCCTTGCATAAAATAACCACTTTCGGCTCAAAAATGGCTATTTTTCCCGCGCGTAATGCAAATATATATTGAAAAATTGCGAATTTAACAGGGGGCTATATTTTCCTCATTTTACAACAATTCGCAACCAAACTTTGCAATTTTACTCATTTTAAATGCCCTTTCCAGCTATTGCAATAGATTTCGTTCTTCTTGTCCTGATCAAAATTTCGTCCATAGTTGGAATTAATCACCAATGGGCGAACTGTTCGCCCAAGAGATTCAGTACGGGTTCATATAGAGTTACTACAGAAACAAACTTAGCGTATCTAGGAGAAACACTTAAGGTGGTTGGTACATTTAAATTAGAATAATACTTCTGACGTACACGTAACTGAGGTGAAATTATAATCAGACAACTGCATGTTTGCATGTTGCAGGAATTGAACTCCACGTGAAAGACACATGCACTTACTACTTTTGCACCATAAATTATTCAGAATTAAGAGATTGCCACTCTTATTACCATTTAAAACGTTGAAGGATCTACCTTGCTACTCACCTTGCAATGCAAATTTTCTGAGATCTCTCCCATCAGTTCCTTGCAAATCAAAAGACAACGTATCATTATCATCAACTGTCGCCATTATGTCACCAACAGGCGTTCCCACCTGAGAATTCTCAGACACGCTATGATTGGTTAGGTAGATATACTTTTGACAATCGTTGCAATTACGCACGTTTATAAACATATTAACAACCTGGGAAGACTTTCTAGGAATTCCATAATCAGTACATCTCACTTGAATTCTATGAATATTCTTGGACTCTTGATCTAAGCTCTTTGCAGTAAGTACTTCGTTTCCACGAAGTGAGAAAAGTCCGTTATCAGTGTTGACTATCTCCCAGGAGAAATTGGAAGTCCTTCGTGGACCTACATCATCGTCTATTGCTGTTAGATTTCCGACAGTGTGGTGCATGGGAATATTTCCAACAAGTTCGTTATTTGAAAGTTCTAATCCATAGGGTGGATCGTTGACGTTTAAGACCGTGATATAATGAGTAGCTTTAGAATGCATCATTGGCGACCCGTTATCGGAAACATTTACAACAACCGAATGAGTGTTGTCACCCAAATTATGAGTCCATACTAACCGATTCTTTACTAACAACATATTGCCTTGAATAAGAAAATAATAGTTCCCTGTTGGGTTTAAAATACTGAAAATTAGATGATCCTTTTGAGGATCTGTCGCAGATAATTTACCAACTGGTGTTAAGAATGATTCTTTTTCATTAATGACAGTTTTCGATATGGTAACACCCAAAGGTGGGTCGTTAACTCTTCTGCAATAGTAAGGGGTAGTTACTGGATTCCAATCCCATATAACAGCCCTTGAATTTGAGTCTACTGTACACAAAGTTCTATCACTAGGGCTACCAAAATCAACTGTGGTAAAATTCTCAGCAAATCTTTGTCTGAAATTTGGTTGAGCGATCACTGCAAGTTTATAGTTGTCCACACACCTCAGAGTACAAGATTGTTGATATTTATACCCGTCATGGCAGGTGATTTTTATAGGCAAGCAGGTTGTTCCGAATTCATCACGATATGCATCAGCAGGACATTGTGGAGCGGTCAGCGGTGTACATGATTTCATTTCACATCGACGACGGTTGGATGAAGGTTGATAGCCATAGAGACATTTGCACTCATAACTACCGTCTGTGTTCTTGCAGTTTGCGTTGATACATATTTCTGAACCATCTAAACACTCGTTCTTGTCCGCACACGATATCTTGTCGTCTGGGCAGAAATAAAGTAAAAGGAATAATATAAAATACCTGCTACTAAACTAACTATATTTGCAGTAGTTGGTTAGGACAGCCATTAAGGAGAGCCAATATATAAGGACAATCTCTTAGAACCTCGTACCCAGGGCCTGTCCTCCCGAATTTTTAACATGACCTTCAAAGCGAGCGGGAACCTTGTAAACGTTGGTCATGTGACTCCATGGCTTTTTCGAAAGGGTGCTAAACCTTTTCCCTAAAAAATCCCTGAGCCGTCTCTAATGATAAATATTGGCATGAATGTCAATGATCTGATTAACTGCATGCAGTTGTAATGGATATTAAAAATACTTATTAACTCCTTTATTTAAATGTTATTTTGCAATTTCAGGGGCATATATTATCAAATTCTACTGAATAAATGCTGAGACTGGTGGTTGACTAAATATCCTTTCAGTTTAAGACGTTGATGTTCATCAATCATCAGATTTCAGCTTTGTCAACTTGGCCACTCTAGTCATTCTTTGCTATAGTGTTATTAGTGACTCATTTACAAAATTTCAGGCTATTGTATAAATGTTAATATAGAATAATATAGGCCATAGTCTGGCCATGTTTTCTCAATATTTAAACTAAAAATTCGGCTAACTAGAAAAATTAATGTATGAATAGCCTTCGAAATATTAAACAATTTTTTAATGAGATCGAGTAGGCCAGGAAGAATTATTAAGGCCTAGGTTTGTGTTATCTACCGAAGCCTAACGCTGAGTCAGATAACACAAACCCATGCCTTAGTAATTCCTTATATCCTGCGAGAACCGCGATTCAGTAATTCTTTTATTATTTATTTGTCGGATTGCACAAAAAAGATCGGCGAACCTTTCCTTCGAGGAAGCCATTCGTATTTTTCCACTTTTAGCATAAGTCGCATAAATTAACGTCATAGCGTGCAATATGGGTCTTATAGCCAATCAAAACTCTTGAATTATTTTCAATAAATAATAAATTGTAATTCTGTTTCAATTTAAAGGCAACCGAATGGTGATATTCGCAACAGTGTTAAATAAATTTAAACTCATGGGAATCTGGTAAATTGTTTCAATTAAATACTTTAAACATTCAAATTCATACTCGATACCTTTTACTTGATGGAAATCATCACAAGTAGTACAGAAAACATAACTCACCGCCATATTTTAGAAATCATATTAATATTTGGTAATCACTCCCCCTGACACTGGGTACGAGATTGAATCTCTTATACTGACCCTGTGCAATGAACTGGCAATTGCTAGATAGTATACTTCAAAATAAGGTTTCCATTTTTATATCAATTTTTAAAATAAGCTAGGGTTAGGTTATGGTTTAGGTTAAGGGTTAGGGTGAGGGTTAGTATTAGGGTTAGGGTTTAGTTTTGCGTTAGGATAGTTTTTTCTACGTTATAAAAACGGAAACCTTGTTTTGAAGTATACTATCTAGCGATCACCGCAATGAACTGTAAGGGAACTGGAACGATAACTTGGCCGCCATCTTTGAAGTCATGCAGTCATGATGACCGCCATGTAGATATAAGGAGTGGAAATACGCTGCCTAAAACGGACATCTGCATGTTTTCGACATAGATATCTTATATACACTAGATAGCGTATCTCTTTTAGTAAAATTGAAGCCAAGAATATTCCAGCGGTTACCCCCATTTGAATAGAAGGCGGCCATGTTGGTAGTTCCCACTCGCTAATAAACGCTTAAAAACAACATTAACTTTCATCATTTGAATAGTTTAAAAATGCATTTGGAATATGTTTAACCTAATGTTTAAGTTCCCTGTTTAAGAAATAGGAAACATACGAATCTTCTCATTTCATGGGAATATCCTGAGTCTGCAATCATGTCTTCAATTTTTGAATTGCAGAATAATTAGATGCGTCATCAACAGTAGAGTATATCAGATATCTATGGTTTTCGACCACAAAATAGCTGTATTTCAAAAAGAAAAGAACTAAAAACTTTCAACAATAATGTAAAACCAAACATGTTTCTAGAATCTAGAATGTAGAGCAGTTTTAAAGTTCTTATCTAAGTGCGAAGTTTTTTCGGCACGTTCAAACTTGTGTAATATTCTGAATAGGGCTGACTGTTACCCAGAACGTTGTTGCTGTTAGTTGATGTAGAATACTTAGAGCTATTCAGAAAACCATGTTTGAATCAATCATTACTTTTCTTGCTAATTTTCGCTCAAAAACAAACTTTTACTGAATACCCGCTGCTCGAAATTCTCTCTAGCGTTTCTGAAAGTTAATTTTTCCGCGCTTTTCTTCAAAATTAATGTAGCTTCAACCAGTCATATAGAACTTGATCACTGGAGTTATCGTTCCACTTTACTTAGAGTTCACTGGTCCTGGTCAATACAGGAGGAAACGTGTAGCTATATAAACGAAATATCATGTGAATGGGGTAAAACAATAATCACCCAAGTGGACAACCCAGCCAGCAAGCGCCTGTTTTTTCGAAGCAAATTTGAAGTAGTGTTGAAGAGTGATTGCGGGAATTGAGCACCGAGGTACTTGCATCCTCGACTCTAGAACACGTGCAACTTTCTTTAATACTAGCATATGTTTAGGTAACTGACAACCCCACAATTAAAGATTCTGATCACAGCAAAGTATATTGATATCATTACTTTGGAGTTCGTATCCTTGTGCAGTGCAAGCACACGACCCGTCTCTCTTAGCGCAGAAATCATCACACCCTCCGTTAACTTCGCCACAATTACCAGTCTCCTTCAAGTTAGGACAGCTTCTTCCATCATGGGTAGGAGGGGTCACGACAGCACGATGTCGGTCGTATGTGCCAATTGCACATTTTTCGCTACAGCTACCCCATGGATACCAACCTATGGAAAATAGTTTCATGTTATAAATAGACTATTCAGTTTGACAAAATCACGCGGGCGTTCATTGCGGAGGTTAGGGTTAGGGGAAATGTTAGGATGTTATTATTCAAATATTACGACATCGAATAACAAGTTTATAAACATCACCCGCAATGAACGTGATTCTCTCCTCCGTTAAGGCACATAGTAGACATGATACAGGTTCGACACAGAATAAACACTTACAGAAGTGCGTAATAACCAATCAGTATCTATCACTAGTATTTTTGCACAAGTAATCGAATATAACAAATCCTACATGTTGCAATTGATTGGTCAAGTTTGATGTAGAGGTGAATATAACAAAACCGAAATTTTCAAAATGGCGGCTAGCCGTTTTGTGGAAGTTACTATAAAGAAATAAGCGAAATTAAAATAAATTCAGTCCCAAAAAAAACACAAAAGACGTGTGTAAAAATACTAAAACGATTATTCGCCTCAGGCTCGGTGATTATCGGGGATTAGTATAAATTTTGCATATCAAATGAGCTTTCGCGCGTTCTGATTGGCTAGTTGACTAGTAAATCTGACGTATTATTTACTACCTGACTAGTAAGGAATGCTTTTCAAAAGAATGATTCAGTAAATTTGGTTTCAAAATCGACGAAATGTTGAAAAAAAGCACAAAATGTTGTATTTAACTTGAAAGGTAGGATTCCTTTATTATTTTACTGTGTCACTATTCACGGACAATTTAAACTTATTTTAGTAAAACTCCGAAATGGCGAAACATTCACTTCAAACAAATAGCAAAAACTATCCCGACTGTTGGGCAAAACCTTGCCGTGATATTCTTTTAAAACCATTTTGTTTTGTATCCTATAGGTATCTCAATTTTTACGATACTATTTCGTTTGATATGTCAGTTTCATTGCTGTATGGTGTCCTGCCGCTGTATTGTGTTTTTGAACTTGTAAAGTGAAAAGTGTATTAAAACTTCATTTCGAGGCAGTCGAGCAATTGTTTTACATTCCACTTTACCAATTTTCTCAGCCATTTCCTGAACAAATTAATGCTAAACAGAAACTATTTTTAATTCAAAGTGTGGTAAAAAGTCATCCCATCATTGTGCTTATATTCCAAGCAGAAATGGAGGAAAACAACTTTGCAATAAAGCAATAAAGTCGCACAGGAAGCGTGAAAGCGTGCGTGTACAAGAAACACTTGCAACACTAAAACAGTAATTCCGTAAAGCCGGCCGAAAACAGTTTTATTTTTAAATTTTAATTAAACTGCTATTTGTATATTTTGTTTTATTTATTAAAAATTTATACTAAAACAATTATTCGTCCCAGGCTCAGTGATTATTGTGAATATTCACCTCGACTTCATCTCGGTGAATATTCACCGGTAATCACTTCCCCTTCGGCGAATAATTGTTAAATGATTCTCCTCGACTTGGTCTCGGCGAATATTTAACAGTTATTCTACGAACTCGAGTTGAATATGAGCTGACAGCCGATGAGGCGCGTAGTTTTACTATATACACAAGGTCTGAATTCACAGACTTTGCTTTTCAACAACTCGTTCGCAAAACGTCTGAAACTTCAGTTTGAGCTGCCATTTTGTTTTTCTCTACTAGCAAGATATGAGCTAATATCCTGCTAGTAGAGAACCAATCAGATTGCAGAATACCTCATAAATCCAGATCTTGTGTATATAATAATCCCCGATAATAACCTCGCCTTCGGCGAATAAATGTTAAATGTTGTTCTGGTTGGCGTGTTGACGTGTTATTGTTATTGTAATTGGTAAACGTCTATATTAGGCAGAGCCTGAAATAACGGCCGGCGGTCGGCGGTTTTCCGACCAAATTCCAGTTTTTCCGACCAAATGCTGAAATGATCGGAAGTTTCGTCCGGACAAATGTTGAAAAAAAATGATAATCTGTTTTTTTTTTAATTATCGGGTCGGCGCTCAGCACAGTGAGTGCAGTATCTATAGTCTTAGAGTAATCAACTGGAAAGTTATCAAAGTTTCTTCGCGGATCAGAGTATGCTTTAAACAAAGTTTAGTTAACTTAGGCAGCGTTTACACTGTACCGTTTTCGTAGCGTTCTCGTATTGTTCTTAATCCTCAAGGGAACGCAAAACAATAGTCTAGTTCTCTCGAACAATACGAGAACGCTACGAAAACGGTACAGTGTAAACGCTGCCTTAAATGTGTGACAGTGCACGAGTTACGAGTCAGAGTGACTGCTCTCATTGTTGTTAATTTGACGATCTGAAGATAAAGAATGCGTTTCCTCGACGTTTCGAGCAAAGGCCCATCATCAGGACAGTTAAATAGGCTGTTTATTACAAGTAGAGTGATTTACTGCATGCTTGACATAATTTACTCAACGGAGGCGATCAAACTAAACTAAAAAATTTCCGACCAAATTTGAAAATTTCCGGTCAAATTTCATTTTGCTTGGAAGTTTTGCCGGACAAATTTTAAAATTATTTCAGGCTCTGCCTAATCCCCCTAAGTCGGTAAAATCACATTGTTTTCATTGCCAGTAGCTTTTGTCAGATTCCAATTTTTCTTTATTAAAGAAAGTGAAAAGAATCCAATGAAACCATTCTGAATCTCAGCATATCTACTTGCGGAAAATGTAGAAAAATCGAAACGAATTTGCAATAGATCATGTTTGCTGACGTCAGCTAGTTTCTAAAGTTGTTTTGAATTAAGGTTTGACCTTGTTTGATCTTTTATTATCCATGGTCAATCTACTTCCTGGAGGGAAGTTGAATTTAATAATGGATCTGTTTTTGAAGTACTGTGTGTAACTGTAAGGAAGTTGTAACCCAGAATTTCAACTTCATGCTGAGTTGTCTATAGATACCCAAAGATTTTGTTTATTTTCGTTGAAGGGGGGGGGGGAGAGGCAACTTCTTGGTGAGTTACAATCCTAGGTGATTCGAGGGCATGCTCCCCCGGGGGAAATCATTTTGGGTCTCTGAAACAAATCAACATTGTCAAGAATATATTGATTTCAAAACACTTTACTATTTCACTCAGTGAGAGACATAATAAAGCTTTATGGATGCGTGCCAGATACACACAACACTGTCTTTATGAAAATGCTCCTCCTCAATCTTTCATCGAATTTGAAAGAAACTAAAACTACACTCTGAAAAACATTGGCAGCACTGTCGTGGACTCGTGATGGCGTACGTAATCTTTTTTTTATCACAACCCCGTCTAAGCAAGCGTTAATTCTACATGCAAATTTTTCAAGCCAGAAGTGTCCGTTGATTCGGATAGCACCTATAAAACGCGAATCTAGAAAGTTAACTGATTGCAGTCCTGCTTAGTTTCCCAGTAGGGTCGCATATATGAAGGGCAATCTGCATTATGAAAACATATAAAAAACTGTGGGAAAAATTAGTACGTTTACACGTTGCGATGTGTCGTGTAGGATTCATATTCTGGCGTACAGTATGTGTCCGAATAATTAATTATGCTCGCGAAAAGAAGCATGCATTTCAAATTTCGCTATAAACTAAACAACGAGGAATGGTGGCGTCAGCAGTAATTTTCATCAACGCCAGAATACGAATCGTATATGACAAATCGCGGCGTGTAAGCGTATCTTAATAAAGGCCCGTTTACACTTGCAATTTTTGCTGCGATTTTAGGTGCGATTTTCTTCTGATGGATGTGAACGAGTGGATTAGTTATGAATATTTAGATGAGAATATATTACTGAACTCTAAGGTTCAGAATATCATAACTCATCTACTCGTTTCCAGCACCTAAATCGCAGCAAAATTACAAGTGTACACGGGCCTTAAAGAGTGGATATCCCAGAAATTACGGTGGAATCGATGGATAGCACAATTGGTGTTATTTGTAAAATCCAGGACTAGAGTGTCGTAATCTCGTACAACTTTAGTTCTTTACTCCGGCTAAAACTAAAAATTTTACTCACCAAATGGGAAATTCACAGGCATGTTATATTGATAAATGGAAAGCGAACTATCATATATAGTATAATAATCAAGGACAGATAGCATTGGGTTTAAAATTTGTTGGCTTTAATCCATGACTCCATAAATATAACATAAATATAACAAGCCGTATACTTATGTAAACAGATATTTAGTTCCCATGAATATTATTATTTAGTAATTCTTTATAATTAACAGTAAAGCCAGTAAAGGCAGGTTTCTAGTTGGTCTGCTTGGGCGGTTGTAACCACGATCACACCATACCAAAATAGGTGCATGATATAATAATATATTGTTCATTTATCTCCGTAATCAGTGAAGACAGATACAGTATGTATACAGCACACAAAAGACAAGATAGATCCAGACTATTTCACATCACTGACCATGACTTAAGGCCCGTATTCCAAAAGCTCACTCACACTCGCACTCAATGAGTGGAGGTTCAATCTGAGCTTTTCTTGAGTGTCAATGCTGTTTTTGAATAGCTGGAGGGTTAGTGTCGGACCTTACTATGTGACTACTCACCCCATCCAGCTATTCAAAAACAGCATAGACGCTCAAGAAAAGCTCAGATTGAATCTCCACTCATTGAGTGTGAGTGAGCTTTTAGAAAACGGGCGTTAGTCGCAACATTTACAATCAAATGGATATGGTACCTTCATTATCGCTCTTTGAACACACACTCAGTGTGTGCATGAACATTTTTGCAACATGTCGTGGCAACAAAATACGTTTTTGTGCTCTTTGTCATCATTAAAAGATCTAACTGACTAACACCTTATCTTCCTTTAAGCTAGATGGCATTTGCTGTAGTCTCTTGCCCACCATATATAACACGTTTACAATTCCCCTCATGGCCTCATACGAAACGCATCAAGACCACGGCCACAGAATGTTGCAGTGATTTATTTGTTTCGAGAAGTAGTTCACACGAGGCGATTTGTCGCTGCAACTTATCGTGAAAGAGGTCCCTAAAGTCTAAAATAATCCAATCTGAAAAAGCTGCGTATGGATACGGATACAACGGTCCGAAAACTTTGAA